CTTTCTCCCTCTTTCCCCCTCTCTCTCTCTTTCAAATGTCGCTTCTTCCTGTCATTGTTCCTTTTCCCTGTTCGTTCGTTATTTCCTTTGCCTTTAGGAATACAAAGTCTAACAAAACAACATTAATTGCCGCCTCTTACCACTGGGAAGATATTAGCTGAGTAGATAAAAGATCATCTTTTTTCGTTCCCGATGTTTTTGTATTTTGTATCTTTGTCCATTTCTTAAAGATATTTTTTCTAGTATTTGCAGGGCGATTTGTCTCTTTCCCTCCCCTCCCCTCCCCCCTCTCCATACCTGGTTTCATTCCGTACGACTTGTGCAATTTTCCTTCGATAAATCCTAAATCAAGAAGGCTGGCGTAGAGATAAACTTTTCTTGGAAACTTTTCAATAGGAATCTCGGTGATGCAGGAATCTTATATGAGATTTTCGCTACTTGTTATCATTATTATTCTTTTTCTTCTACTACTCTGCAACTTGCGATTAAACGAATGAATAATGCAAACCCCTTAAGATATTGCGTGAATGCATCGGGCAATGTTAACCAAGATCTCTGCAATGTACTTCAGAAGGTATCCTTTTGCTGAACGTGAGAAGGGGTTTCTGTCACCTCTGCCCTTGCAACTTGCATCCTCGAAGGTCTCATAACAGGATTCCATTATGTCAGGCGTTATTAGAATGTCTTGTTATCGCACGCGTTATGAGCAGTGTTGCCATTCTAACGATTTCCCCGCTAGATCTGCAGAGGCTTTTGAGTTAGGAGCTAGCGGGAATTTTTTTCGAAAGTTTGTGGTATGTTTAGCGATTAAAAAAAATCCTTTTTAATGGGAAATGAGATTTTATTCTTATGACTGGCGGGTTTTTTAAGTCCAATTCATAGCAACACTGGTTATGAGGTGGCGTAGAGGGAGGGGAGAATTTTAGAGATTTTTTTTTTTTTCTTTAAGAACAGTATCAACGGAAATGTCATGTTTGCAAATGCTATCGCCTATATATGTATGTATATACATATATATATATATATATATATATATATATATATATATATATATATATATATATATATATATATATATATATATATATGTATGTGTATATACATATACATATATATATATATATATATATATATATATATATATATATATATATATATATATATATATATATATATATATATATATATATATATATACATTTGTCCTGGGTAAAACGTTAAAACTGCACCCTGGGTTGCCCTTTGGAAAGGCATAGTACCCATTTTCCACCCTTGGTTAGGGTAAAACCAAAACTGTTGCAACAGGGCAGTGGATGCATATTGGAGGCTCATTCAGTGCATCTGAAAATGATGGCTTCAACAAGCACGTACGTCTGGCAAGTACTCAGTCCTACTGAAGAAATGGCAGAGGTGCACCTTTTGGTAGAGGAAACCTGCAGCAGAGAAAGTGTACTGGGAACCCTACTCTGCTATTCTTCCCGATTATCCTCCATGATATTAGTATAGAAAAGAAAAAACTCATGCCACATCGCTCGTCGCGTGGACTACCAAGGGGCGCGTTGCCCAGTGGCTAACTAGGCTGGCAACGGAAAATATGATAATGGAAAAACCTTACCACCAATGAGTTTAAGATCCAAATTCAGAATTGGCACTTGGAATGTCCGAAAACATTTTGAGAAGCAATTTGTTAGAAAAAGTTCTAACAGGTTGTGCCTATGGCAAGAGGAAAAAGGTAGACCCAAAACACGCTATAGTGATAACATCAAAGAGATCAGTGGCTTTTATATATATATATATATATATATATATATATATATATATATATATATATATATATATATATACACACACACACACACACACTCATATACACGTATATATATGTATACATATATATATATATATATATATATATATATATATATATATATATATATATATATATATATGTGTGTGTGTGTGTGTGTGTGTGTGTGTGTGTGTGTGTGTATGTGTGTGTGTGTTAGTGTTCGTGTGTGTGTTTGTGTGTGTGAATGTGTGTACATGCGCGCGCGCACGTGTGTGTGAATAAACACACACATATATATACCGTGTTTCACCGTGTTGCCTCTCCTCTCCCTTTTATTCCCCTCCTCTCCCTTTCGTCTTCAGACCTAACTCGAGATCCTACAATACACAACAAGACGAAGAGAAAGACGGACAGAGAAGGATAGAATAAGAAGAGGTGTGTGTAGTGTAAACCTTGATAGGAAAAAGGAAGAGAGAGAAAGTGAAAAACGGGACAGTGTAAGCTGAGAAAACAATGATATAAGAAAATTAGAATAGTGTGTGAAAATGGGTGCGTTAAGAATCGCGCAAGATCAGTTTGTATCAGATTTTAGAGAAAAGTGATTTCGAAAGTATCAGCAGCGTCCGAAGTACTTGATGCCAAAGAATGTCTATTGTAACACCACTGAAGAACTAAAGACTGTAGCCCAAAACCCATCTTCCACGTCTCAGC